CCTGCCTTTCTTCACCCCCACTACCACTTTTTGCTGCACTTCCTGAGAACAATTGTAATGCATGAGGTTTAGGATGAACACAGCATCAAAATCATGATATTGAATAGTTACCTGATAGGTCAGACCATATTCGGGTGTGGTCAGATGGGTGCTCAGATACATTTGCCCTAGATCTCTCTTGTTGTGCTTGAGACCCTGTCCCATGCATTGCCTGGTCATGCACTGTTGCAGCGGCTTGTACAGGTTCAGAGGGATTGCCTTCATGTAGCTGTGATATAAGCATGGTTGCAAGTACAAGTGCAGCATCAAAATTTGAGCCAGATCCATCATCTAGACCAAATTTTGGTGTCATTAATATTGGCCTGTTCCCAAATAAGCATCTTTCCAAGATCAAACCAACATTTAGGCAAAATGTGATAATAGTATTAGTAAGAGGGCAACGCAGACAAAAGCATTCGTTTATTAGCATACTCATTGACTTTGCATTGTCCCAACCTAAAAACTAATAAACTGATCATATGTGTTGTACTCTTTTTGGGTTAAACAAAGTTTCATATACTTCTAACTTCTTAAAAATATTTCATTTGTGATTCAGATAGCTATCTAATTACAAACGATTGATGTAAGAAGCTGAATTAATGCAACAAAAACATATGACACAAACTTGCTATAAGCTATTGCTATCAAATTGCAAATGAACTATTTCATGTTTGGATGTTATTGGTTGATGACATGAAATATTTTATGTTTCAGAACAAGTTGTTCTATGAGTTGCTATCAAAAGAGAATTATGACATTCCAAAAATGTATGGAGAACTAAAATTACTAGAAGAATATCTTACTCGCCCGCTTTGTCAAAAAACAAGTGAATGTCAACCTCACAGCCTTCACAAAAAGTAAGGAATGCCTGCATTTCAGTTTGTTAGAGTAAAATAACGTTTACCTCACATATTAATGAAAGAATAATGACAATTATTCGCAAGTTTAAATTGGATTTATGACCCAAAAATAATCAAGCTGTTTCAAAATCTACTTTGTAGGCCTAGATTAGATACCTTCAATTCCTTGACACTAAAAGTAACATCTACAGGATCTCCTGTGTGAGTGTACTGCACAAACTCCTCCATAGGATCTATCCACAGTTGAGTGTGCAATGACGAATCATTGTCTGCATTGGCAAGTGAAAGAATAAACTTTAATTTCTAGTGAACTGGCAAAAATCAGTATTGTTCGTGTACCTTTTGTTGGGTCAATATAACTTCTAAGCTCAACAGCTTTTCCACCGATTTCACTTGCAGCATCAGAAGGTAAAGACATCGGCTCTGTTGCAATGATGGTAATTTCCTGAAGTGATGATTGAAAATTAGCTAGCAATCTGTTTAGGTCACGAGGCCTCACTACCAAGTTACTTGGAAATCTTCTCCTATCAAGAGACAAGTGTTGTATGTCGGGCTCAACATTGCAGGTAATCCAATATGCTTTTTTCATACCTGCCAAACATAAGTTATGAAACTGTTGAGAACCATAAGAAATCCGTTTATATCCAATATCAGAAAACTATGTAAGGACTCTTTGCATGGGGCAGTTTCCTTGTACTCATAAATGCTGCGTAAACTAGATTTTCAAATTTATCCAAAACAAGTCCAACTTCTAATATTATTTTGGCTTTTGTGGCTGGATTAGGTAAGCATAGAATCAAACCTGTAAAAGGCATGTAGAACACAATAAATTGATTGCATGTAAATGCTAACACTAACTGCATGGCACAATGATAGTTGCCATACTCAAATTTGTAGCAAATTGAATAGACTAGTAACATGCATGAGAAACCCCTCGTCCCCTTCCCATATTTGAAGTTGGATGAAAAATGTAGCAGAATATCAAATAAGTATTTTACCACTATAGCATTCCAAAGCCCATTGTACTTTCGATGCATCTGGATCAGCCAATTTCACAGTCAAGTGATCAATAGTTGCAATAGGTGTCCTAAGAACAGAACAAACAGCCTAAACACACCAAGTCACTTGAAATGCTACATTTTCACTATCCATCCAACAAATCCTTATAGAAGCAAATGAAAGACAAGACCGTACCTTCAAAAGCACGCTGCACTGTACTTGAGCTCCAGAAATTCCATAGACATCAAAGAAATTCGGCTTAAATGTAATAGACTGGTAGGCTGACCTTGACGAATTGAGTGTATGGAGTGCAAGCTGCAAATATTGCCAAGTTGGTCCGTTATAATTTGAAATAGCTAATAAGTATAGTATTCTGTTTGGTTGCCTAGAAAATCTAACAAATAGAAGTAGATTGAAATGCTTTGCAACCATTTTATATTCCCTTTGCTTTTAGAAAATCTGCCGCTTAAACAGCGAACCAAAACGGAAACTAAATCCAAGCGTGAAAACTTGATTGCCTTTTCATTTTCCTTCACTTTCCCGGTCACCAAACAGTTAATAAATTAGCACCTATGCACCTTTCAAAACCCTAATTGTGTCCCAACAAAAACAAAACCCTAATTCAATGCCTAATTAACTAAAGTAATCACTTAATTCCAATGACTTGTGAGCAAAACAACTGAGTTGAGAGATTGAATTCGGAAAGGTGACGAAAGGGAAGCGTACCTGAGAAGGAGAAGCTTGGATGACGAGCTCGTTGCCCACTCGTGCGAGGCACGTGATCGACCGACCAAAGGTTCTGAGGGCGTTCCCGCTAAGGCTCAGCTCCATTTGTTTTTTCTTTCTTTAGCTCTCTGTTTCTCCGAATGAAAATTTGAAACTGCTAACTCTCAGAATTCAGAAGTCTAAATTTTGAGACGTGGAAAAGGGGCGAATCCTGATTTTGCATTTGGCGGGAAGGGAGAAGAACGTTGAATCTCGGCCGTCCACGTCGATTTGTCTTGCGCGCTTGTGCTGTTGACGGTCCTGATTTGATTTTTGCATAAGTTAGGTTTTTTCTATTTAACCATTTTAATCTTTTTAATTTAAATCCAATAAATGAAAAACTTATACATTTTTATCAAGAATCGATTTAAGTATAATTAACA